TGGGGCACATCAAACAATCTACCCACTTAGTCACCAGCCGGCAAGTAGGTTATGTTTGGCCCTTACCAACATATATCTGGAAAGACATATGTTGGGAAAATAGAATAGTTTGGTCAGGGACCTTGCCTCGGGTCCTGTTGGGTGTAGTTTAGCACATCCATTGTAAGCAAAGTGTGTGTGTGTATGCGCGAGCGCACGCACGCACGTGAGTGTGTGTGCGCACGTGTGTGTGCGGAGTTAGTGCACATGCGCGCCAATGTGTCTTTTTAGTTTTGTTGCTATTCTTGTGTCCTTCAGAGAGAGAGAAAAAAGAGTAGAGGAGTTTTAGTGAAGCAGGCAGGCGGGTGTCTGCATCAGGCATCCACCTGGCACAGCCACGCTTTCCAACCTGTGGCTTCCAAGGAACTTTTGGCCGGTTGCCTAGCTCATAGACCTGTGTGAAGGGTCTGGTGACCCAGCCTGGCATAATGAAGGGTTTGTGACCCAGTCTGTGAATGGGTTTGAGGGGTCTGGGAGCTCCAGACCCAGCCCTAGCTCAACAATTGGCCCATTCGGCAGGATTACCGGCAGGTAAAAGAGCCCGACAACTGGCGTGGTTGTGGAGCTAAACTGGCGTCACGAACAGGATAAGTAGCTCTGCAACTGGCGATGTTACAGGATTCTAGACATTAGCCGTGGCTCCACAACATATATCTGGAAATACATTTTTAACATGTGCAGACACTACAACTGGACTTATACAGGCCTTTGTCTTTTAAAGGGCAAATCAAGCCACCACTATAAAAGGACTCCAAAATTAGAGAATATGTATGGGACTCCAATCCAAATTGACAGTGACCAAAAACCCCACTTCAGTAGACATGCTGTGCAAGAGTGGGCTGAAGCCCAAGACATATTATGGACTTTTCATCTTCCTTATAATCCCATGGCTGCAGGTCTCAACAAGACGACAAATGGCATAATTAAGACCACCCTAAAGCCTTTATCACCAGACAGAACCCTAAAAGGATGGTCCCCTCGCTTGACGGAAGCCATCAGACTGATAAATGCTGCACCCACCAGCGAACGCATGTCTGCTTATGACCAATTGGCTGAGCATACACTGATCACTAGCGCTTTAAAAGTATAAATACAAGGTGGAGGTTTCAGGCCACTTCAAGGGGATGAGGGGCTTGTTCTGCAATTGCTACAAGACCTCCCACTTGGGGAAACTTTAGTAAATTGTAAGTTAAAATGGGATCCCTCTCCCACCTGACTTGCTACTCTAGCCTACAGGCACGTGGCCTTACCTCTGGCATCATGCTCAGCCCTTCTTTTTATTAAGGAGAGAGCCCAACTTTGACCCATGTGACTTCTCCACATTCTCCATGCCAGAGAAGAGAAGCCCCTGTTTATAGCATGCTTCCTCCTATTGATAGTGTCAGGGGCCAGAATATGTGGTGTAGCCCACCCAGGAAAGGCCAAGACTGGGGGTGGTATTGGCACACGGTGACCAAACTGCAACTGTTACTGTCAAATGAAGACTCGCCTTACCTAACACCTTTGCAACCTTTATCGTATCGCCCTTAGCTTCCTCATTTTTGAGTCCCTGCCTACAATGTTGGGAAATGCCTTTCTGTCCTGGCCGCCACTTTGCTGAAGTGCACAGCTGCTCCGACTGTTGGGTGTGCGGATTGCTGCCGGAGCCAGTGCTGAGGGGATGCCCTGGAAGGTGTGGCCCTTCAACAAGAGGAGATGGGGACTGGTTGGGGATGATGACTGTAGAGAGCAAAGACCTCCTGTGCCGTCTGAACACTGCATGGAGCCTTCTCTATTATCTGAATATGACACTAAGCAGTACGTGTTCTCAATAGTGGCCACTGCACCAGTGACTCCAAGACACCCCCTGCCTATCACATTTGGGATGGTCTGGGAAGGCTTTGTGCAGAGCATGGGATGTTAGGCTCGGTAGCCCCTTTTTGTATTGGAAGGATGAATCATACCTGACACATGGACACACGTGGTAATTACCACCTCACACCCTCCCACCCCTGCCTCTCATACACCAGGTATTGGACACTGAATGAACTGGGAAGGAAAACAAGACATTTAGAGCAGGCACCTTTTGGAACCCCAAAATGGCATGTTTTCTTCCCAGTTGTCAGACATCATTATAAAACTGGAAGTCCAGGCATTGGCCAAATTTACTGCCACTGCCCTGAATGACTCCTGCCAGAGAATGCCATTTTCTTATTAAATCAAGAAACAGCACAAATGAGAAAAGTGGTGTCACAAAACAGAATGCCTTTACACACGCACACACACACATATAAGAATATTTTATTTTTTTGCCTTTTTTCTGTCAGCTGGCTGGTTCAGGGATCCAAACCCAAGACCTTGGTGTTATAAGGCTGTGCTCTGAGCTAGCCTTTAGACTTTAGATATATTACCTGCTGCTCATAGGACATATGCTTTGACTGGACAAGAATGTTGTACCTACATTCCTTTCTGAGGCTAATGTAACTGATTTTTCACATACGGGAGAGGCCACTGATCATGTGGATCATGCTTTGCAGATGCTTTTACTAGATGATTTACTTCTTTCCCTGGGAAATGGGGAACTGTAGTTCTTAGTATCTTCCTCTGCTGAATAGGGATATTATGCTCCTGTTGTTGCTTGCATTGCTGTTGCAGGATAGGGATGCAAGTCACCACCTGATATCTGGCCCTAGGATCACTGCAGAAGATTGGCAGATAAAAATGTGTGGGCCACAAAAGGTGTCAGGGGGTGGGGTGTTAGAGGGTGAACAGGACTGATGTCATCTTGTGCCCTGCCTGCACGCTGACTCCTGTTTAACCCTATTCCTTTGTCTCACTGACCACTTAGATTAATTTTAGGGCAAGCTAATAGGAACACAGGGTTTAGGGACTACATGACTTATCACAACTCCTGGCATGAGCTAGTCTGACCAAAATCATCACAAGCTTCCTGCTTCACAGATCACAGGAAACTTATTTTTCTTAAACTATTTCTTTGAAGTTATGCAATATGAGCCTTACCTAAAAACCAGAGATTCTCATCTGTGTAGACATCTGATTCTTTGCTGTGTGCAACCTTCCCTGTATGTAAGTTACCTTTTTAATAAAAATCATTGCATGGATTTGCCTGACGCATTCTTTGGTCTGAGAGTTCCTTCTGTTTGGAGGGTATCATATTCTAACCCACTCCTCACAAATAGGGCCGGGGCAGGGAATATACAAGATGAGCCTGGAGCATCTTGTAGTGCTGGAAAGTAAGAAAGTGCTCAAAAATCAAAAGGGCGGGCATGTCAAAGGGAGCCAACCTGACAGAACTCCTAATAGCCATGCGGGAACAATTTGAGGAACAAAATATTACCCAAAATATAAAATAAATATACACGAGTCCACACTGATATATAATAACTGAATTAATAAATTGGGGGGTAGAGGGAAGACAAATCTTTCTTACAGAAGAATTCCAAGTACTACATATAGCTATTTCCTCTTCCAGGAGGTTGAATGTAATCCTGCCCATCTCCCACCTCCCACAGACTGGAGGGTTACTGGCTTCCAGAGAACACAAATAAAAGGGAAAAATACTGAAGTAACTTTACAGGAGAGAAACTCAGCAGACACTACCTAAAGTTTCCAAAGTTAATACAACATCAAGTTGATAGCATGTACCTCCCAATACCATGTAATGAGAAGGACCCTTCACCTCTGTGGTATTCTTCTTAAAATCCATAACCCCAGTCGAATCATGAGGAAAACATCAGACAAACCCAAACTGAGGAACATTCTACAAAACACCTGACTGGGACTCCTCAAAACTGTCAAGGTTATAAAAACAAGACTGAGGAATCATGACAGATCACAGGCTAACAAGACACGACTAATGCAATATGTTATCCTAGATTGGATCCTGGAGAAGAAAAATGGCATTAATGGAAAACCTAGCACAATCTGAAGAATAAAGTTGAATTTAGTTAACAGTAATTACTAATGTTGGCTTCTTAGCTTTTGACAAATGTCTCATGGTTATGTAAAATGTTAATATTGGGGGAACTGGGTGAGGAGTATATAGGAACTCTATATGATCTTTGCAAATTTTTTATAAATCTAAAATTATTCCAAGGTAAGTTTATTTTTTAAAAATCTGAACATACAAAAACTGTTTCTACTAATTTTTGTATAACTTATGGCCATGAATTATTTTATAAAGACATTCTTGAGTTTGTCCTCTTGAGAAAGCCAATGCTGCTAAGAAAATCCACGAATTCATTAGAAGCTTAGTTACCTGGCAAACATTTATTTCAATAATAAATATTGATAAAGATCACATATTGGTGATGTCTTACAAAACTTTCTATAGAAGTTTGAAATAAAGTATTAAAGGTTCCAAACATTTAAATTGGAGCCTAGTTTGCTCACTTAGCCACAAAACAGACACTTGCTGTTTAACAGAGGACACATCTAGTAGCACAGTTGTCACCATCTCAAGTGTGGGAAGATATTAGGTTCCCACCAATGACACATATTCAAAGTTAGGAATGTAGCTCTTTCTCTAGAACATATTTTTCCTTCTGTCCAGTTCTGCCTGTAATGAATCACTTCTCCTTGTGCTGTCTTTCCCTGACTTTCCAAGCACTTTATCTTCATAACTTGGCTAGAGGTTACCAAAGGATATATATGGAAGTCTCCAATTCTTGGGATCCTGGGCTAGGGAAAGTCAACAGCTAGTGGTAAAGAAAGACCAGTATAGGAACACAGCTGAGCATTTTAAGGGGCTGAAAAGTTTTCAACATTCACATTTTCAGAGGCAGCTGAAATTTTCTGGGATGTGCTCTTAAACATCTGTTCATAATTTTCATTGTAAATAAGAGATATACAAAGGTACTTCTTTGCAGCTTGCCTTTTCTATCCCTTTTCACTCCACAGTTTGTTTTTTGACTTAAAAAGCAAAAAATGAACAAACAAAAAACAACCCAAAACAAAACAAAAACAATACCAAGAACAATTTTTATTAAGGCCACAATTGGTAAATGGTTATAGTCCTTTAAAAATATCCCAGACTCTACAATGGGGAGGAACCAGTGCTGGGGAATTTAAACATCAAAGCATAACAGCATATAGTGCTCAGATGAGTTATGTTAAACACCTTTTCACTTGTCTAATGATATTGTTTTCTCCAATTTAGGCAAAGATTGTAACAAAAGATGACATTTGTCATATGAGTGGATCATAAAATGGGAGTTGGCTGTGCTTCTGAATCTTGTTCACGTCACCTTGTAGGCATATTACATAATACTTAGATCTCCTGGGCTTACTCCCTAAGAGGTTGCCAGCTGATGGTTCCGATTTTACAAGCGAAACAGACATGGAAATCTTGTCCTTATAACTAATCCTAATAGAAGTGTGACATTCATATGCTCAACTGGCTAAAGAGAAACAACATATTATGTGAGGAAAAAATCAAGTCAGATCCTTCCAGGCATAAACGTGTACTTAAAAGTTCACAGTAAACAAACAATACTTCTAAGTGAAGATTTTCCTATATTTCCAAATAAGATAATGTTGAACAGACCTTATAGTGTATTTTATATTTGATCTCTTTTTCGGTAAATATGGTTGTGAAAACTGAGTTACATACTCTTCTCTTTAAAATTTCTCCCTTTAACAAGCACCTGTTTTTGAGATTTGGTCAAGATAACCCGGCACACTGAGGCGGCGCCGCGCAGGATTCCCGGCAAGGCAGGCACGCTCGCCTCACTGTCTCTCCCACTCTGCTTTTTACTTTGAGGTTTTAACATCAAAATATAAAGTCTTGTAAGGTCTTAAAATAATCCTTTCACAAAAATAAGACAACATTATGTTGTACAAGCATTAGTTCTTTGTCAAAGGTTATGTTCTGTCCTCATCTGTCACCAGCTGTCAGCATCTTCTTTAAAGATCAGTCTTTTCTTCATAGCGACACCAGCATGCAGCTCGTTGGCTGTCCAGGTATGGTTTACAGCCTAAATGTATAACACTGTCAAACAAGAGCTCCACCGTTGTTTCACACGCTGCAAAGTAAGAAAACAGAATTGCTGCTGGGGAACTGCAAAGCATCAGTCTCTCTTCACCTTTATTACATGTTTCAGCACAGTGTCAAGCACATCCCTAGTGAGTGCTCATAGGTAAGTTGGGTGAAAGTCACCTCAAACCCTCTCAAAGCAGGAGCATATATAGATATATAGATATATAGATATCTATCTGCATATTTTCAGCTTTAGTCTCTACCATGTATCTTATATTTTCTTTGCATTTAACTGTTCAACCCAATATTTTGTAGTAGACAAGTAAGTCTTTATCAACAGCACTGACCAGTTAATCAGTGTTAACTTCCCTTTTATCTGAAAAATATAATCAATAATAGAGATACCTGATAACACTCTTAAATTTGCGTTTTGAGGAAAGATGTTTTAGGTGCAGAAGAAATAAAGTTTAAAAACAAAAACTTCAAAACATTTCATTATGGCCAATGGCTTCTAAGAACTGATCACACATCACTTAAGATGCTTAAAGTAAATGGAACTCAGTCTCTTCCTTTGATCAATATTCCAGTTTGGCTTGGGAGTTGGGGGTGGGGGCACAGGAATCAAAAATGTTTTTCAAGGCTGGCCAGTTAGCTTAGAAGGTTAGAGTGCAGCCCTATAACACCAAGGTCACAGGTTTGGATCCCTGTACTGGCCAGCCACCAAGAAAAAGTTTTTCCCCAGTACAGTTTTTAATTTTTTTATTTAATTAAAAAAATTTTTTTAAAAAAGTAATCAATTTGCTTTTCTTATTCTAAGAAACCTGAAAGACCCAGGTGAGATTATCTTAACATGTTACACTTACGGAGATGTAGCATAGAGTAGTTTTTAGTTGTACAAGTACTTTCAGTTTCAAACTTTTGTGTTAAGGAAGAAACTTTTCATTATTAAATTTTATTATTTTCAAAGTTCTGCAAAACACTGTGCCATTAAGGAAAACAACCAACCACAGAAGTGTAGAGGCTATGACTATTAAATAGGAGACTGCATGAAAACTGGTCTCATCATTTAGCCACATTATGATATCCTTCTTAGATCAGAAAACAGGAAATACGTCCGCCTGTGCTTCACCTGTCCAACTAGTTTACCTTAGCCGAACACATGCCCGGGGATATAGAGGCTGTGAATTCAAGCTTCGTCTGGAACAGAGATTTCTTCCTTGACAGTTATTATTAGGATTTCAGAATCAGACCCATAATATGAGACTATGTGGGGAATACTGCAGTAGACAAAGCACAGGTTTTAGAGTCAGAAAGTCTAAAGGATAAGTATATAACTTTGGGCAAGTTACTTCTTTCTGAACCTCAGTTTCTTCTCTTGAAAAGTGGGGATAACACCACGTACTTCTTTGAGTTTTTGTGAGCATCAAATGAAAACATGAATGAAGTATCTAGCACAGTATCTTATGGTGCTTAAAAATGTTAGCTTTCCTCTGTGCCTTCTCATTGCTCTTCTTCTGATTTCAGTGTATGGACCACTCTTTGGCTTGACAGTAGAGAAATCTTATAACTACTAGTATTTAAATAGTGATTTGTATTTCCATAAATGTTTCATTTTCTCCCCATGACAACTCTAGGAGGTAGGTACTATCATTCTTCCCATATTAAAAATGAGGACACTGAAGTGCCTTTTCCCTTTGCTGATCTTGGTTTGTATCCCTCCATTATGATAAATCACAGTCGTGGGTACAACTACTAGCTGAGTACTGTGAGTTCTCCTAGTGAATCACTGAACCTGGGGGTGGTTTTGGGGACCCTCCCAACACAGTTATATAGGAAGACAGAGTTACGACTCAAATCTTCTAGAACTTCCTACTTCAAATCCTGTGTGCTATGTTCTTTTTTGTTTGTTTTTTAATTTATTATTATTTTTTAACATTCTAAGATGTTGTGTTACGGGGCAGAGGGATACGGTGGGAGCAGGAGGATGGGGGGCAGGGTCAAGGACCTTGGCACCCCTCTCATTCTGGCAGGGGAGCCCAGGAGGCTTCTGGCAGTAGCTTGGTCATGGCTGGGTTGGATATGGCCTTTGGGGGGTGGGGGGGAGCATGGCTAAGGCCCTCAGTGCCCCACCGCTCCAGCTCCAGAACACAGGGTGCTTCTGGCAGTGGCTCTGTGGTTATCACTGGGGCGGATGTGGACACTGGGGGGCCGTGGCTGAGGCCTTCGGCTCCCCCACCACCCTGGCTCAGGAGCCCAGGATGCTTCCAGTGGCAGCTTGGTCGTCGTGGCTGGGCTGGATGCGGACATTGTTGTGGCGTGGCTGAGGCCCTCAGGCCCCTCCCCAGTGGCTCCGGAGCCTGGGGTGACTACAGAAGCAGCCTGGATGTGGATGTCAGGGGGGTGTGGCTGAGGCCTTCAGCTCCCTGACCCCTGCCCTGCCTTGGGAGCCTAGGGTGCTTCTGGCAGCAGCTTGGTGGCCACTGCTGGGCTGCATGTGGACATTGGTGGGGGGGGGGGGGATGCGTGGCCCTCTACTGCCCCAGCTTAGGAGCCTGGGGCACTTCTGGTGGTTGTTGCTGAGCTGAATGCAGACATTGGGGGGGCATGGCAGAGACCCTTGGCCCTCCCCTGACCCAGGAGCCTGGGGTTCTTCTGGTCCTTCTAGGTTTTATAGGTATTCTTTGGTGGTGTCAGACCTTTACTGGTTAATATCAGAACTTTGATCTGTGGGTTTTTTGTCTTTTCTTCAGTTCTGTGTTGGATTACTAGCTACACCCACCACTTAAACTCCGCACTGGAGCTAATTTGTTGCCCTTTGGTTACTTCTTTTTTTTTTTTTTTTTTTTTTAAAAAGATGACCGGTAAGGGGGTCTTAACCCTTGACTAGGTGTTGTCAGCACCACGCTCAGCCAGTGAGCGAACCGGCCATCCCTATATGGGATCCGAACCCGGGGCCTTGGTGCCATCAACATCACACTCTCCCGAGTGAGCCACGGGCCAGCCCAGCCCTTTGGTTACTTCTAAAATGGGGGAGCTTCCTGTGGGGACCACCACTTGAGCCCTGTGGTTGAGCTAAATTGCTGCTGTGCTGCTGATTCTCTGGGGAAAGCTTTTTGTGCAGCTCAGGTTTTAATTGTTGACCTTATAAACACTTCCAGGTCTTGTGAGGTCTGGTACATGTGGGTTGTGTGGAAACTCTAGTCTAGGCCTGAGTCTTTTCAGCAAAATGCACCTCCTGCAGTTCTATATTCCGGACCAGTCTCCACTGAGTGGGCCTGTGCTGTCTGGAAAGCACATCAGCTGTCCACACTGTGCCCCACTGTTCCCCCAGTGGGCCTGTCTCCCCCACCCCCTGCACTCCAAACACTTCCCGTGGGACCGTCCATGTGCCGGTCCCTTGTGATGATTCACTGGCCTTTCAGTGGTTCCTTTTTTCAGTTGTCTGTGGTCCCTCTTTCCTATGTGGGTCCATGGGAACCCTGTTAGTGGTCTTGCTGGCCTGGGGCCCTTTCTCCCCTGTAGCCTCCAAGCAACTTCATACAAAGGGCATAGCAATGACTTTTGCCAGCTCTTGGTCCGTGTGCTCACCAGGGCTAGCACTGAAGTGGTGAAGGCTTGAAATGGTTGGAGTGGTCCTTTCTTTTTCTCATCATGGCTTCTCCTGCCTTCATGAACTCCACAGGTTTCTCCTCCTCTTCCCCTGATCTCTAGCGGCCCCAGCTTGGAAGTCATTGCTTTTTAATAGTTGTGAGACCATCTATTCTGCCATCTTGATCAGAAGTCTCCAGTGTGCTATACTCTTAAATTCACTGTTGCTATGGTCTGAATGTCTGTGCCCTCCAAAATTCTTATTTGAAATCCTAACCTCCAAGGTGATGGAATTAGGAGTTGAGGCCTTTGGGAGGTGATTAGGTCACAAGGGTGAAGCCCTCATGAATGGGATTAGTGCCCTTATAAAAGAGGCTCCAGAGAGCCGCCTAGGCCCTTCCACTATGTGAGGACACAGCTAGAATGTGCCATCTGTGAAGCAGGAAGTTGGCCCTCACCAGACAATGAAACTGCTGGTGCTTTGATCTTATACTTTCTAGCATCTAGAACTGAGAGAAATAAAGCTCTGGATGACTAGAGACATACTCCAGGGCAGAAGGTGGATGAATTCTTTCCTCTCTCCTCACACACTCTTCTCCTAGATTTCCTAACACTTCTTGTTCCTATGACTGTAAGTCATTTTAGATTACGAATTTATTAGCTCCTCCCCTGAGAAAATTAAAGAGGCTGTATCACAATAGATAATATATACATGAAAGACTCCTACGGGTAAATCCTATACAAAATATAAAGCATTCAATAAAACTTTTAAAACCGCACTCATCCCCAACCCACTGGATCATCCTTACCCTGAACGTGCTGAGTCAGTCCTAGTGTTTTCTGCACATCTCGGCAGATCTTGGAGAGGCAATGCTGAAACTCCTCATCACAGTCATTCTTGCTTTTACCACAGGTCTCATAGCATCTGTCGTGTTGGTTGCAGCACTTTGTTAGGGAAGGGATGCCAATGTTAAGCTGCAAGAGGCATTTGGATAGATTGTCAACGAAATGCAAAACTCCTCTGCTCAAGTCCTGCACTCAAGTAGACTTAATAGAAATAAATGACAATGACTGCCCTCTCTGTAATTCCAAAACCTATTTCTGCCTACAAATGGTTCCCATAAGTCTCTGCATAACTCTTATCCACAACTACCCACCTCATTCCATCTCAGCCATGCCTCATTGCTCCTTGTTTTGCAGTTATCTGCCAATAACAAACAAAACTCCCAATTACCCCAAATTAAAAACATGGTTTTAAAAATGGAAAGATAAGGCATTGAAAGATTTCTCCAGGGGCTAGGCAAGTATGATTTGGGGATATTTCCAAGTGTTTTGTCTCTCTCTCTCCCCAAATAAAATGTACTTTACGTGAAATGTCGCAGAAAACTTCTAAGCTCCTATAACTCAATTTTGGTTTCTGTTTTTTAATCTTTAAGTATTTATCCATTCTCCAAAGATAGATACCATTACTTTGAATCTATAACTTACCTTTAGTTATTTTAAATAACTTTTTTTATGTGTGTGACTGGTCAGTATAGGGATCCAAACCCTTGACCTTGGTGTTATAACACTGTGCTCTAACCAACTAAGCTAACCAGCCAGCCCTATTTTAAATAACTTTTAACACAAAATCCTTGTGATTAGGAATCAGTCTCATAAACATTTTTTTCCCATAATACTCCGCTACAAGAACCACACAGCTATCCCACTTAGCTTTGTTTTAATGTAGAAAACGTGCTTTATCTATACTTTTCCCCCAAGTAGTGTTACTTCTGTACCCCAAACTTTTCAACTGTTTATGACATAAGGAAATACCATTTAAATGGTATATTAACATCTACAAGATTCCAAAACAAAACATTAATTTTACACCATTTAGTTTTGTTAGGAGTTATGTTTGCCATAAAAGAATGTAATAAACCAGATCACTACTGCAACAAGCAAAATTATTTGTGAACCTGAGAGCACACTGATAATCTTGTATTATCTAAAGTATTAAACAACCTACTAGTCATAAAACTTATCAAATACAAAACAATACTTACATGGACACCAAACAGTGGAGAGCCACATCCATTTGGTGGGGAGGGTTTAAAACCATAACGTGGGAGAGGCTTAGATCCTATAAAATATAAATAGTATCATAGTAAGTTTTCAAATACAATAGAAATAAAATACATACTAAAAAAAGTCCACAATGTGCTAGACTAGCCTTGAAAATATTTAATATTTATTTGGATGCTGACATAGTGGAAAAAAAAAAAATATATATATATATATATATATATATATTTTGTGTGTGTGTGTGTGTGTGTGTGTGACCGGAACCCTTGGCTTGGTGTCACTGGCACCATGCTCAGCCATCCCTATATAGGATCCGAACCTGCGGCCTCAGCGCTCCCACCACCGCTGTGCTCGCAGCGCCGTACTCTCCCGAGTGAGCCACAGGGTTGGCCCATAGTGAATATATATTTTGATGAGCATGCAAATTAAGAATGCTAACTTGTCTATCTATTTTTATTTCTCCTGTGGTGAAGAATGTGGAATATATACAAATGTGCACACATACACATATACAGCAATTCATAAAATGTTATTTATAAGTCTATGCCATACAAAACATACAAAAGCTTATCCGGGACTTCTGGAGATTTCAGAGGTTACATGCCAGATTGGGTTTATATGCATGAAAGGTAAATCCACACTGTTTTCCTGTACATCCTAACAGTTATAGTTTTAGGTTAAAACCTATAAGGCAAGAACTGTATCTTCCCAACCTTTTGCAAATGCTCCATTGCACACAAACCTCAATAACCATTAATTAACCAGTTTACTCAGCAAGAGTCTAAAGCTACAGACAAGGTCGTCCAATGATCATTTCATAAGCTTAATACCACTATGAGATATTACAGGACCACATATTCTGCCCCCCACTCCAGCCAACCATTTCACAAATGTACTTTTTTGCCAGCAAAGGAAAAAGGCCAGGAGGATATTTGGGAAACTATATTACTCCAGCTATACTATTACTCCCTAATAGCACCAATGTTTCAGTGCCAAGGAGAAAGATGGCATCATCATAGCAATTTTAAATTTTGGAGGGAATTCAGAAATATCTCATTGCATGTAATATGGAAATCACTTTAACATACTGGACAATCATGTACTGTCCCTCTGAATATTTCCCATAATCCTCCTACATCAAGAAATAACCATTGTGTAAAGACATCAATTGTTAAAATGTTATTTTGTCTGCTTTCTGGTAAATTCTACCTGTAAACAATCCTCTGCCCCTTGGGGAAACACAAAAATAGCATCCCATTGTTGGATACTTTGGACAGACACAAAGTATTCCACCAACTTTCATTCAACCAACTTTTATTGCTAGGCGACTTAAATAAAGATAAGGTTACCCTCAAAAATAAGGTGAGAGAAGAAAAAAGCAACTCTTTCAGTAATCAGCGATCAACATAAGTAACCCACTCAAAGTAATAACTGAAAACGATTTAAGTGAGTTGCTAAGAGGTTCCCCGTTCAATTGAGGTGACCAAGCACAGCCTCAAGCCTCATGAAGATAAAAAGCAATAGTCTGCTCACTCATTTTGAGGAACAATGTGTAGAAAATGGAATGGTTAAGATGAGTCTAGAAAAGGGGAGGCCAATGACAGAACTTGGTCTTGTTTCTCCAGCACTGTCAAAGAAGCGTTTCTGGGCCCTAGGAAAATGAAAGATGCCTCAGGCCATCACAGACAAGTCATTGTGGTCCTTCAACTCTTATGTCCTGATTTTAGTCCTTTATTCATAAGAAAACTGTTTATGATTTAGCTTCCCACTTACAAGGGCCTGCAGAAGGAGGACATATTAACCATTTGGATATCTAATACGCATCTCACACTTAAGATGTACCTTCTGACATTCATCCCAAACCTGTTCCATCCACAATTCCCTCTTCTTAGTTAATGGCAACTCCATCCTTCCAGATGCTCAGAGCAAAAATCTTAGCTATTATTGACTCTTACTTCCTTATACCCCACATTCAACTCAACAGCAAGCATATCCTGTTGATTTTGCCTTCAAAATATTCAGAATCTAAGTACTTCTCATCACCTCCACTACTACCATCCTGCTCCAAGCCACCATGGATTATTGCCATAAACTCCTAACTAGTCTCCCCACTTTTGTTCCCCAACCCCACATCAGCTCCAACATAGTCCAATCTCAACACTGAACCTGAGTAATCCTATAAAAACATACATTAGATGAAGTCTCTCTCCTGCTCAAATCCCCTCCAATGGCTTCTCATCTTATTCAGAATAAAAACTAAAGTCTGTAAAGCCTGTAAGACCCTAAATAATCTGTCCTTTCCATGACTTCTCTGACCTCATCTCCTTACTATTCTCTTTTCCTTTCTTCCTCACTCCATTCCATCACATCTGACCTCTTTGCTGTACCACAGATACTCCAGGTCTGCTCCTGCTTCAAGGCCTTTGACCCTGCTGTTCCTCTATGTGGATGCTCTTCCTCCTGATATCTACATAGTTGTTCCTTCACTGCTATGGTCTGAATGTCTGTGTCCCCCCAAAACTCATATGTTGAAACCTAATCACCAATGTGATAGTATTAGCAGGTAGGACCATTAGGGGTGATTAAGGTATAAGGATGGAGTCCTCATGGCTGGGATTAGTGCCCTTACAAAAGAGGCCCAGAGAGCTGCCTAGCCCCTCCTGCCATATAAGGACACAGTGAGAAGGTGTTATTCTATACCAGGAAGTGGCCCCTCACCAGACACTATTCAGTGTCTGCCAGCACCTTGATCTTGGACTTCCCAGACTCCAGAACTGAGAGGAATAAATTTCTATTGTTTATAAGCCATCCAGTTACGGCATTCCGTTATGGAAGCCTGAACAGACTTTAAGTCACTCACATTCTCAGCAATGTCTTCCAACAGACTATATCACTAATCTAATTTTTTGTTTATTATCTGTCTTCTTATACTAAAACGTAAACTCCTGAGGGCTGGAATTTTTGTCTCTTTTGTATCTCCAATGCCTAGAACAGTACCTGGCATATGGTTAGGTTCTCAATAAACTACTTTCCATGGCAGTTATAATACTCATTATAAATTAATAAACTGGTATTGCAGTTTGCCACTTCAGTCTCTTTTGAGTTTGGTGAGCATTCATCAACCTCCCAATACTAACCACTTCTAGTTCGTTACATCTCTTTAAAATGTGGCAGCCCAAACTTAACATCATTAGGTATGATGGGCCTGTTTACCTTTTGAGCTGGATAAAGTATGCATATTAACACAGTCTAAGATAATTAGCATATGTTTCAGCTGTGTCTCAGTGCTAACATACATAAGACAGCAGTAAAAAACCATCAGTTCTTTCTAATGAACTTTTAATATCTACTGCTAGAGGCTCAGCATTTTGGCAATTTAATTTTTGAGCCTAAACACAAGATTGTAAAATTCTATCTTGTTAGTTTTAGTTCATCATCCAGGATTATTCAGCAGATTTTAAATCTAGAGCTATTTACCCGGTGTTACCTATATTCATAAACTTGAGACACAGACATTACACAGGACAGAGGTCAACAACACCATGCTATAGATAAACCCTCTATAAGAAGCCATGAAGTTATTAACCCAACCCTTTGGGTAGACCACTCAACCAGTTGTGACTTCACCTAAATCGATTTTTATCCAGTCTACATTTCTCATGGGAATATCATAAAAATTACACATTTTATCCATGGTTTTCTTTGTCCTACCACACTGGAAACCCAGAGACAGAAAGAGGCTGGATCAGCATTATATTCTTGTGGAACCCACTCTAGTTCCTTAAGCTTCATCATGAAGCTCTCTCTTTTCAGGATTTTTAACAATCAACTGTTTAAAATGTTTAGAAACTTATTGAGAGATATATATTAAGTCAAACTGTTAATCTGAGAAAAGTAAATAAACGATAGAATGTTCAAAAAGCTTGGAAATGAAAAATAATGTATTTACTATACATATATTTCAGGTTAACAATTGGACTCAATGCTTTAAATTTAAAAGTATATCACCTAAAAAGGTATCTGGAAGTTGAAGAAATAATATTGGGCATATTATTTGAAAATGTACCTAACATATTGTTTAACCTATATTTCCATGTTTTTGGACACCTTGTACATTCCCCCACCCATCTGCCGGTCTCCAGACTTCTGGCCCCTCTCCCTCTTCCATGAGGATCAAAGATTACCACCTTCAGACAACTAATATGGGCCTAGAGTTTTAAAAGCACATGGGTTTCTAATATCCAATATCCTCTATCTCAAGTGATATATTTTTTTAAATTTTTTTTATTTTTAAAGATGACCGGTAAGGGGATCTTAACCCTTGAGTTGGTGTTGTCAGCACCACGCTCACCCAGTGAGCAAACCGGCCATCCCTATATGGGATCCGAACCCGTGGCCTTGGTGCTATCAGCACCACACTCTCCCAAGTGAGCCACAGGCTGGCCCCTCAAGTGATATTTTTTAATTTAACCCAGGATATTCCCTCAATGTTCATACAACAGAAGTACTTCTATTTTTCCTTCTCCTTATATTTTACCTATGGCCATAGACCTTTCTTTGATCTCAAGTCTATAAAAACACTTCATGACATTTTGATGATGTGTAATGATAATGATACGTACATACGTGTGAGTGTATTAACATATATACACTTTCTCATTTCATTAAAGATAATTACCTTTAAATGGGAGAATGATCAGAAGCAAATGAAATCAGGGAAAGAAAAAACAAAAAATCCATGCTCACTATAGGAGAACAAAGAAGAACAGAGACAGTGCAGAGAGTCAACTGGCAAAAAAGAAAATGGGGCCTGAGATGTAGGAGGTTGCCGTCTCAAATAGGGTTAGTACTTATACTAGTCCTAAGGAGAGAAGTTGAGAAAATCAAGTAATAAAGAACCAAAATCCACTGTACATGAGACATTGGATAACTCCATGAAATCAATGCTGGTAAAATTGGCAAAGGGGGCGTGTACGTTTAGTTTTTTGGTTCCTTTTGAAGCAACCTGCTAATGTCACTTCCTCAGAGAGGCCTTTCTGGCTCACCCCATCTAAAACA